TTCTGACCTTATCACTGTAGCGTCTAATGCGTGTGACCATGGTGCATGTAGCGACTGCCAGACGCTCTATCAAAGCTGTCCTGGGCTAGAAGTAACTGGTAAAACTCCCTTCCAATGCTATTGTACTACTGCATCTAACTACACGTGTCCAACCACTACTCCAGTGCAGCCTACTTCAAGAAATGCAACCTCTCCTCTAGCGAAAACATAATATTGTACCTACAGTAACAACTAGCGCTATTCCATCGACCACCTCCACAAGAGCTTTATTGTCTGCCGTTACTGCTCTACGGACTAACGACATCACAGTTGCTGCAGCTAAACTCTCTCCATCAACAGCCGCGGGGAGGGTCATTACTCTTCCTGCAACAGCGCAAGCAAAGGGTCTTCCTAAGGGATTCAGTATTCCCTCGCTTCTCCTCACTCTCTCCATTTTACTCGTACTGCCGTATCGAATTAAGCGCGAATCCCTCTCAGCAAGCGGCCATTCGCGAAGAGAACATTTAGAAGCGGATATCTTGTAGACTCCAGCAACACCCCCGTGTACCATAGTCTGCGCCCAACAATTCCGCCAAGTAGCAAATGATACATCCCAGAGCCCATACTGGAGCCATAGACTCTACCTACGCGAACATCACCGCGAGCATACCCAAGTCCTGCTCCATGACCGAGGGCACAAAGCAGGATTGTGTCCATGCGCAGTTGTCCACAGCACCAGCTAATATTGAACATACCCAGGATTCGCTGTATGCTGATGTGGAGACACCTGAAGATACCAGTGCTGACGCGCAGGAACGTCACTACATGTTACTATCGACGGGTACACAAGCACATCTCAACCGTTACGAAGCCTTGGTCACGAATGCAATGATCTCCAAAGAGGGGAAATCCCTGTTTACACCAAGCCTAATGGTGATACGTTCCTTAGTAACGTGTGGGCTGTTTGGGGAAAGAAATTACATTTTGCTCATGTCCGATACAATCCTTTAAACTTCTTTCCTCGAGACACCTAGAAAACCTTTGGCCCTCCTTTTTTTCGAATATTGGTGGGAATTGAAGCTGAGACCATTCGGTTTGGCACAGCGCAGGAGATACATGTAACTACTCGGCCACAGGTGCACCCTCACGTATTCATTCTCAAGTGCCACATTCCATTCATACATGTAGGTATGGGTAAAACGACGTCCAAAACACTGCGATATTCACTCGTCCTGAGAACTAAAAGTACTTTTTTTTAGACCATTGCCATTGGACGGGAGAGCGCACTTCACCTCACCGGCACAGCTTTATGGCATCTACACTCCCTTTGTAGTCCCCTAAGTTCTCTTGCTGCTAAAGTTGGTTTTGGTGTTGTTGTTGTTGTTGTTGTTGTTGTTGTTGTTGTTGTTGTTGTTGTTGTTGTTGTTGTTGTTGTTGTTGTTGTTGTTGTTGTTGTTGTTGTTGTTGTTGTTGTTGTTGTTGTTGTTGTTGTTGTTGTTGTTGTTGTTGTTGTTGTTGTTGTTGTTGTTGTTGTTGTTGTTGTTGTTGTTGTTGTTGTTGTTGTTGTTGTTGTTGTTGTTGTTGTTGTTGTTGTTGTTGTTGTTGTTGTTGTTGTTGTTGTTGTTGTTGTTGTTGTTGTTGTTGTTGTTGTTGTTGTTGTTGTTGTTGTTGTTGTTGTTGTTGTTGTTGTTGTTGTTGTTGTTGTTGTTGTTGTTGTTGTTGTTGTTGTTGTTGTTGTTGTTGTTGTTGTTGTTGTTGTTGTTGTTGTTGTTGTTGTTGTTGTTGTTGTTGTTGTTGTTGTTGTTGTTGTTGTTGTTGTTGTTGTTGTTGTTGTTGTTGTTGTTGTTGTTGTTGTTGTTGTTGTTGTTGTTGTTGTTGTTGTTGTTGTTGTTGTTGTTGTTGTTGTTGTTGTTGTTGTTGCTGTTGCTGTTGCTGTTGCTGTTGCTGTTGCTGTTGCTGTTGCTGTTGCTGTTGCTGTTGCTGTTGCTGTTGCTGTTGCTGTTGCTGTTGCTGTTGCTGTTGCTGTTGCTGTTGCTGTTGCTGTTGCTGTTGCTGTTGCTGTTGCTGTTGCTGTTGCTGTTGCTGTTGCTGTTGCTGTTGCTGTTGCTGTTGCTGTTGCTGTTGCTGTTGCTGTTGCTGTTGCTGTTGCTGTTGCTGTTGCTGTTGCTGTTGCTGTTGCTGTTGCTGTTGCTGTTGCTGTTGCTGTTGCTGTTGCTGTTGCTGTTGCTGTTGCTGTTGCTGTTGCTGTTGCTGTTGCTGTTGCTGTTGCTGTTGCTGTTGCTGTTGCTGTTGCTGTTGCTGTTGCTGTTGCTGTTGCTGTTGCTGTTGCTGTTGCTGTTGCTGTTGCTGTTGCTGTTGTTGTTGTTGTTGTTGTTGTTGTTGTTGTTGTTGTTGTTGTTGTTGTTGTTGTTGTTGTTGTTGTTGTTGTTGTTGTTGTTGTTGTTGTTGTTGTTGTTGTTGTTGTTGTTGTTGTTGTTGTTGTTGTTGTTGTTGTTGTTGTTGTTGTTGTTGTTGTTGTTGTTGTTGTTGTTGTTGTTGTTGTTGTTGTTGTTGTTGTTGTTGTTGTTGTTGTTGTTGTTGTTGTTGTTATTGTTCTGGTTGTTGTTGCTTTTGTTGTTGTTACTCTCTTCTGTTCTATGTAGGCATGTGTACTTTCATAAAAATAAATGTTTTCAATAAACTTGCTCTATGTCTTTAGACATTCTTCCAGGTCCAGAACCTTCCAGACCCTCTTTGACGGAAGACTAACGCGTTCGGTTACCATGGTTACCATTCCTAATCACTAGACTATGGTGAAGAGCTGAACCAAAATGTTGAAAAAATGAATCATGCAAGGGAAATA